TTTAACTCTAATTCTCTCTCATCATTATCTATAGCTGGAAGAAGCTAAGAAAATGTGCCCGGATTTGATCATAGTGCACGTCGCTACATACAAAGACGGCGAGTCCGAACCAAAGTACCACCCAAATCCAGACACTACTTCTTACAAAGTGTCATTGGACCTCTATCGTCGAGAAAGCGTCAAGATTATTGAGATATTTAAGTCGGCTTTACCCACTGCAGAGATTGGTATGATATCCTTGCTCGTAACGCCCCATCTTAACTCACCTTAATTTATTAATGTAGAAAAGGCAAGTGTGGACGAAGCCTTTATCGATTTCACCAATCCCGTGAGGCAAATTATCATAGAGAGGTACCCAGAACTCGTCCTGTCCCATCCGGACGATTTAGATGCACCACTACCGTCTCCACCTCAAACAATCAATTGGAATTCTAGCTGTAACCTGATTCCGATCGAGGAAGAGGAAGAAAGCATGATAGAAGCCCCAACTCAGGACTCACCTAAACCAGAACCAGTAAAGCGAGAACCACCACCAGTCACTTGGCATGATATCGCGCTATCCATAGGGGGAGAACTCATGCTCATGGCTCGAGATGCGATTTTCAACCAGCTCGGCTACACCACATCTGCTGTTAGTCTATCGTTTCCTGTTTTCCTTGTCAAGTCTAATTTAGTCTCAACCCAGGGCGTAGCTCGCAACAAATTTTTGGCCAAGGTATGCTCTTGAGTCTAAGTTGAGAATATCACTGATTATTCTACAAGCTTTCAGCCTCATTTAAGAAACCTGCTAGTCAAGTAAGATATGACCTGGTATTGCATTGCATAGTACCCAATGAATTTTAGAGCGTCCTTCGTAACGCCGCGATTCCACGCTATCTTACGGCTATGCCTTTTCAAAAGGTCAGTACTTCTACTCGGAGTTGAGAACGAACTGACGTGTCCAGATCCGGTTCCTGGGAGGAAAGCTTGGCTCAATAATAGCTGAGGAATATGAAGCAAGCACAGTCGGAGACTTGCTGTAAGTTTGTGTGAGACTATTAATGCGGATGTTGACCCTTTCCCATAGATCTATCAGTCTAAGTGAGTTGTAAAACTGTGTGATGGTTTAT